GTTGTTGTTTGTAGGTGTTTTTTGTGTGTTTTGGGCTTTTATTTTTATTTGTATTTCTTTTTAAGAACGAATCTGGAGATGGAAAATCGCTGGAGTTGCCAGCGTCAAACGTCCTTTCCATTCAGATTTTGGGTATAATTTCGGACATTTATAGCTCCAAGATGAGCTCCCCATCTCACGATCCTCTCTCTCGCTGCGCTGCAAAGCAAAGCCTGCACTGCTTCACGAACAGACCTGCGGCAGGCAAGCGATCAGTCCTGATCGGAGGTGTATAATCCCTGCTAAATCTTTCCCTCAGATCAGACCTAGGAAATTCGAGACAGACTGCCCTTAAAAAAAAAAAAAAATAAAAATAAAAAAAAATGTTGCTTTGAAGCATAAAGGTGTCAAAAGAAAAAAGACGGACCCGGAGACTCTGCTCCCATCTCTTTGGAGGTGGAATGCTTTGGCAGCAGAGACGGGGCTGAAATTTGAGTAGATTATGCATTTGAGCTTGTGCATAAATGCGAAAAGGCTGTCCTAATGCTGGATATTTCTCCATCAAGAACAACCAGGTGCTGCTGCTGCAAAAATCCCACCTCCGGCTGCTTGTTCTGAGCGTGTGTGTGCGCGCACAGTGATGCACAGACTTTGTTCTCTCTTCATGTCTGAAATTCATCAACGGCTCCCCCCCCACTCCTAGCCACCCCGTCCCCTACGTGGAAAAAGTAAATCCGTTCAGGCTTTGAATATTGTAAGACTTGTAATTTTTTTTTTTTTTTTAATCCTCAAATGAATTGAAGACAACCTGACAATGCTGTCATCTGTCTTCAACGTCACATCAAGGCAAGAAATAATGATAACAGAGCAGCAGAAAGACACCCACTGAAACCTGGAGGATATATATACACATATATGCCTTGAAACAGTTTGAAAGAAAGTAAAATTAGATTACCGTTCTCAGGCTATCGTGGTAAGAACATGTGGTTGGTTGTGTTTTGGTTTTTGTGTGTGTTTTTTTTTTTAACTACTTCACCTTTCCTGCTTTATTTTGTGAAGCGCGTGCTCCTTGATACAAACCACTTTTGTGGGATGGGATAAGACGACAAGCAGGCACATTCCTTGCTGCTAAACTACTACCACCAATGGAAACGCAAAAATATCTCCCCTCCCCCTTCACCGTGTCAGGTTCGCGTTCCAGTCAATAATACAAGTTACTGCTCTCCCGAAGTGCAGGCCAGAGCGTGGCACACTTCACGCGGCGGCCCACGCGGGGACTTCATGCCCAGCAGCTCAGCTGCCCGGGAGGGGGT